TTTGTGATGCTACTAATAGAAAGAAGATTGATGGGAAGTTGAGGAACACACAAAACATTATTTAAGTTAAGTCCATGAGGGAGGGATATTGATCCTTGGCCTACAATGGAGGAGAATGATCCATCTGCAAGTCTCACCTTATCCCTTCCTGACAAAAGGTTATAAGACTGGAATAAGTTTTGCTTACCGATCATGTGATTAGATGCCCCTGAGTCAATGATCCAGGGGGAGTCAATGGCAGTGGAGATATGAAAGGCAGAGGTTGCATTATCTGATGTAGACACAAATGAAGTAGAAGGGTTACTAGTAGCTAAACTGCCCATTTGGCGCAAGGCCCTACCATATGATTCCAAATGACTATGGATGGAGTTCATGATATCTTCCTTGGGGTTAGAACTAGTGAAGTGCTCCCGAGTAGTATCTGTTGACACCCTACCAGACTGAGTGGGTTGCCACATTTGCTGTATTGTGTGCTATATTAGGCTTCTTTTGACCCTGTGTCTTACCCTGTTCTTGGTTCTTTACAACCCACTTTGGCCTCCCATGGATCTCCCAACATGTGTCACGTGTATGTCTAGAACGCTGACAGTGGGTACACATTAACTTGTCCTTATCATCAACTTTCTTAGAGTCATTTTTCTTTCCCATATTATTACCACTCATTGCAGTTAATGCTACCTGTTTCTCCCCCTCACTTGTAACCATCACACTCTGCCTACTTACCTCGGATTGAACAAGGGCATACACCTCTTGGACTGAAGGCAACTCTTTACTTCCTAAGATCTGAACTCTAAGTGGTTCATATACGGGGTTTAGTCCCAACAAGAAGGCAAAAACCCGTTGTTGAGAAGCCAACTTTTTATAGGCTCTAGCATCATCATCATGTTTCCATTCTATAGCCTGATAGTGGTCCAATTCCTTCCATACTGAGGTAAGTGCTGAATAATAGGCTAACAATCCACGGTTCCCCTGTTTACAAGTTGAGGATTCAGCTTGTAATTGGTAGATCTTGGCATAGTGCCTTTGCTCAAAATAGGTGGTTTTGGCCTGTTCCCATATTTCACTCGTAATGTCTGCCCACATAAAATTCTTCATATTATATTCCATGGCTGCAAGAAGCCAGGCATCACCATACTGTTTTCTTGGTCCCAAGGATCATGTTCAGCAGTCCCATTCTTGGTTTCTTTCACTCTTCCATTTATGTAACTAGCTTTTCCCCTTGCTGTTACATAAAGTTTTACACCTTTAGCCCACTCCAGGTGGTTCAGGCCATTTAAAGGAGTAATTGGCATAGGAAACATCATACTTTCAGCCCCCATACCAGCTGTACTACGGGTTGATGGAACCCCAAATGAGGCAGAATCATCATTTGCCATTGGCAAAAGCAGGTCTACAAGTCAACCAAAGGCTGCAGGTGTACAGGACCAGTCATTACACAAATACTACCTCTCACAGTCACACTTAGGGCACAAAACCCCACAAATTACTTCTGAAATAAAGTGCACACTGCTGAGGTCTACTGGCAGCAAGTAAACAGTCCAGAACCAGTTCATATATAAGGAGAACACTGCTGCAATCTACTAACAGTCCAGAAAAATTGAAAAATAGTCATCATTGGACTACACACTTCACACACCAATTAATCACAGCACGTACCTGTGATAAAGGGGATCACACACCCCTGCACAGCACCTGTATGAAGATGCAAAACCATGACTAAGCCTTCGCAGCATCAACCAAAAAAGGAGAAAAGAAGCTTCACAGCATCGTCCTTCTCCTACTAGGGTTACCTTGGTGCTATGACCAAGGAAGAACCCAGAAAAAAATGACAAGTAGTTCTGATAAGACGATTAGGGTTTCTTGTCCTTTCTGTTCAGGAAATCAGAAATCTGGGTTGAATGGATATGATTTAGAAGAAAAAACGACTCCTATTGCCCAGATTTGTGCTCTGAGAGAAGAGAGAGAAGAGATGGGGAAGAAAGATGTGTGAGAGTCAAAAAGTTGGGCTGGTGGCGCCCAGCTTCTCTTTTATAATAATATGATGTAACAAATAAAAAAAGAAATTACAAGGTCCCTGGCTGCCCACCCTAAAAATAAAACTTAAATAAAAGAAAAAAACATGCTGACAGCAATTTAGGCTGACAGTATTCTAACAGCAGAAATAAAATACTTCAATCCAACAACATATATGAACTATGAAAATATATTAACCCACAAAACGAATATAGTGTAATAATGCCCATTTAATATTTAAATCTCAGAGAATAAAAATATAGTAAATTTATATGATGCTTTGTACAAAAACAACTAGTCTCTTGGCAAGGTAACCTTCCATGGGCACCTTGTTGCCTTGATAACTGTGAAAAAGAGCATGTGAGAAATGCAAGAATACTAGAATAAACAACATGAGTATGTTCTGCTTGAAAATAAACTTCAGTTATTTTTGTTTAGGTCTTCCAATTCTTTCCTAAGCTTTCTGAAAGGACTCTCAAATTTTTGGAGCAAGGATTTGAAGATGCCAAAATTATTATTTGTAATGTTTCCTGATCCATCAAAGCTGTCGCTTTGATCCCCTTATTATCTCATTTCCCATGTCAGTAGCTAATGTCAATGGGCAAGATTGTTATCCAAGGGTAAAATGGAAACATGTTTTCCGACTTAGAATGGGGGGCCAAACATAACTTGTTTTTGGAGTAGGTGGGCTAAAATGCAAATGGATATCTCATATATGATGAGGTTAAAGAAATCTTGGTAATAAATTAGTGCCTTTGAAACTTTATCATCAAAAGTTGATCCCAAATCCACCACATGCCTGTGGTGGGCTGAAGATAGTGAATCCTATATTTTCTACCTTCGTCAAAATTTAATGTCAATTTCAATTTCCCTTCCAATCACTAGACAGACACACCTGTTTTGAAGCCCAACTGCCCAAGTTCATGCTAGCTGATGAGTGAGCTTAATTTCTTTTGTTGTTTCCACAATGACAATCCCTTTCCTTTTGATCATTAATAAAATTGTGATATTGATTAAAAGAAAAAATTGGTAGCTTCTGTTCTCATCATTGAGCTCTGTGTTGCATCCTTTGTCTATTTGTAGTTCTCTTTCATTCTCTCTCCTAGGGTTCTATATATTTTTTCCAATGAAGTCCCTTCAAGGCTATTTTTTAGGCAATTGATAGAGAACTTCCCAGAGAAAGGAAATGTCTTATCATATTATTTATACGAGGCATAAACTAGGGTTCCTAGAGGAATTTGTGTCAACAAAGGATTCTTGAGCTTAGTCGATGCCATGGTCAAGGACATGTGTTGATATAGTAGTTAATAATGCATATTAACAATGGAGTAAGACAATAAAGTAGTTATATGCATATTATTTTTGTTTGATGAATGCAAGGAGAGTGATTTTAGCTGATGACTTTGGTTGGGTCGGGACTGGGTCTACCCTGCCCAACTGGATTTGGCCATTTGACAGTTGTATATCCATCCTCTTTGTCTAATTCCATGGTGGGTGCAATCCAACTTGAACCCGTATGCAAGTACTCTAGTTCCTAGCCCTGCCTGTTTAACTTTTCCCCCTTTAGGGTATTGCCCTTGTTCTTGGTCTTGGATCAACTAATGCCATGTGTTCCATTTTCCATTGTTATGTCTTACCACATGTCTGGTGTGCCAGACCAGTAATGCTTAGACTATGGTGTGAAACCAATCTATTGATTTCTGTTTCTGAAGTGGTGCACCAAGGTCAAACTAATGATCTAATCCATTCAAGTACTATACCAAGATCAATCTGGTAATGGCTGAAATTTATGGCAAGATTAAACCGATGTTTGGTCCATTTGAGCTATATGCTAAGATCAGTCCAATGGTTTGACCTGTCTTAAGTTGTGTTTCAGGAGCAGACTAATGATCTAACCATGCAAGTGGTTTTCCATGATTAATCCAATATTTAGCTACCAAATTGCCTGGCAATATCAAAACAATGATTAATCCAATATTAATCCAGTGGTTTGGATAATCCAAGTTGTGTGTCAAGATTGAGCCACTGGTCTTGTTGTTGATCAGTTACCGAAGGAAAAAAATAAAAGATCTGGTTATTGATCAAGAAACTAATGATCTGGTACATCCAAGAGCTGGGCCATAGAAATTCCAGTGGTCTAGATTGTCCAACTGTAGCCTGTCCTCTTTGTTGGGCCTGGTTCCTCTCTTGGCTTGTTGTTCGTTCCCCTTATTTAATACATCTACCTTACCTTCTTCTTCATCACAAAAAAAAAGGGTTAGTGTGCTGGGCAATCAAGAAACATGTTCAAAAATTGAGTGTAGCGAATATGGATGACTGACTGAACTATGAAGGACAGAACTGGAAATGAGAGTTTTTAAGAGCAACTCCAAATGGTTTGTAGGCTTATCCTAGAAAAAAAGGGTGGAAAAAGGTTTGTATATATGGTAAATATATGGTTGGTTGTCTGGGTTGAAGTTTGAATCAAGTGGCTTAATTTCCAATATTTCATATCTATCTAGAAAATTTGAAGAGTAGAGTAAAAAATGAAAAACAAAAGAAAGAAAGTTAAACCTTGGGTAGACAAAAGGAATATGCAATGCAAACATCACTGATTGGGGAAACACATGATAGGTAAAGTTTGGTCATGGCTCATGGGCCACTAGTGTGGTAGGAAATATGGTTGCATATGTTAATGACATTAATTTTTGGTTCTCTATGTTTGTCTTCATTGGATATTTCTATCATGTATTAAAGAAGGCCATTTCCTAATGTTGTCACAGTTAAACCTTTAACATTTTTTTTTTGGCAGAAAGTGGCCAACTCACTCAAGCCTCTTTTCTCATGCTTATCAGCACGAGATTTTACCATTATACCAAGCAATAGTAATGTGTATTACATCAAATATTTCTATTTATGTTTAATATGTTTGTATGACATTGGATTAATCTTTTGCATGATTATGTGGATAGAGCATGTTTGATGATTTATTGTCATTAATAATGTAGCTGGAGGCATCAAGAACATCTCCAAATCATAGTGTCCAATCTCCTGAAGTCACCTCCAAAGTCACAAATCGCAGTGAGGAGGTCAGTGACAGCGTGAAAAGTTTGACTGAGAAACTAGCAGCAGCTCTTTCAAACATCAGTGCAAAAGAAGACTTAGTGAAACAGCATGCAAAGGTTGCAGAAGAAGCTGTCTCAGGTAAGAAATCATATCTTGTTTTTCTCCTTTTGCCTGTGTAAGAAGGGATTTTTCTTGTTTGGGTATTACTTTATACTTTGTATGAAAATTATATGGATTCACATGCCAGGTTGGGAAAAGGCAGAAAAAGAAGTAGTGTCTTTGAAGCAACAATTGGAAGCTGCAGTGCAGAAGAATTCATCCCTTGAAGATCGGGTTGGTCATCTTGATGGAGCACTTAAGGAGTGTGTCAGGCAACTTCGCCAAGCAAGAGAGGAGCAAGAACAAAAGATCCATGAAGCTGTGGCGAAAAAAGCCAGTGAATGGGAATCTGCAAAATTTGAGCTTGAGAACCAAGTTGTTGAGCTCCAGACCCAAGTTGAAGCTGCAAAACTTGAGGCTGCTTCTGATTCTGGTATCCAGTTGAAGCTTGAGGCTGCGGAGAAAGAAAATGCTGCCTTAAAACTTCAGCTTCTTGCTCGAATTGAGGAGCTTGAAATTAGGACTCTGGAAAGGGACCTAAGTACACAAACAGCTGAATCAGCTAGCAAGCAGCATTTGGAAAGCATAAAGAAGGTGGCTAGGCTTGAGGCTGAGTGTCGTAGACTACGAGCAATATCTCGTAAGGCCGCTTTAGCTAATGATCACAAGTCTGTTGCTGCCTCTTCAATTTATGTTGAATCACTCACTGACAGCCAATCAGATAGTGGGGAGCGATTACTTGGAGTTGAGACTGATACCCGTAAGATAAGTAGTTTGGAGCTTAATGATTGTGAACCAAGCTGCTCAGACTCATGGGCATCTGCTCTAATTGCCGAGCTTGATCAATTCAAGCAAGATAAGGCCATTGGTAGGAACCTAACCACATCTTCTGTAGAGATTGATCTCATGGATGATTTCCTTGAAATGGAGCGGCTTGCAGCACTCCCTGAAACAGAGAGTGGAAGACCTGAGCCAGTAGCTGCTTCAGACCAAATTGATAGTGGGCAAAACTCAATTAAGGCTGAGCTTGAAGCTATGATTCATCGGACTGCTGAATTGGAAGAGAAATTAGAGAAAATGGAAGAGGAGAAAGCAGCATTAGATATGGCTCTAGCAGAGAGTCAAGGCCGACTTGAGATGTCACAGAATCAACTGTGGGAAGCTGAGGAGAAGTTGGTGGAGCTGCAGAGGCAGCTAGATCTGGCCAACAACTTGAAACAAGCTGCCGAAGTAAAAATAGAAGCTTCCAATACACAGAGAGAATTGGTAGAGTCACACCTTGTAAGTGCAGATGCAGAGGTTTGGGCCTTGCGCACAAAGGTGTGTTCATTGGAAGCAGAAATCGAAAAGGAACGTGCTTTGTCAGCTGAAGTTGCAGCAAAGTGTAAGAAATTAGAGGATGAGCTCTTGGGAAAGAGAAATGAAGCTGAGCTTCGGAGAGCTTCAATATCAAAATCAAACGATGAGTTGAAGACAAAGCAGGTCAGTCTTCTAGATCACATTTTATTGTTCTCTTGATGGACATACTTTGGAAAGCAGTCTGCACATAGTTCCATGTTTTCAAGTCCAGATTAGTTGGTGCCTCTACAGTGGTCATTTTAGTATCTTAAGATGAACTTATTCAGGAGAAGCTTATTTATTTCCATGGTTGTTTGTTTGTTTACTAGTCTCTATTATGTCTATGACAGGAAAAGGAGCTTGCAGTGGCAGCTGGAAAACTATCAGAATGTCAGAAGACCATTGCATCTCTTGGAAGGCAGTTGAAAGCACTAGCAACTCTGGAGGACTTCCTGATTGATTCTGAGAAACCACTGGACCTCAGTGGATCACCTATTCCTAAAATTGGAGAGTCATGGAAATTGCATTCAAATGAAGCCTATATACCCAAACCAGAAGGTCATTCTTCAAAAATAGATGGGAATGTCTCTGGTCCTTCTATGAATGGCAAAAGCGGAGAGTCGCAACCATCATCCACCCCGACACTAAATCATGCAGTTGCCTCTGAAAAGAGCCGAAGCGGGTTGGGAAAATTGTTCTCTCGGAGTAAGAACGGCATTCATGTAGAAAGTCAGTGAGGAAAAACACAAAAAAGAAATAGTTTTTGCTTGCTGTTGTAAAATCACACGGTATTGGTTTCTCAATGGTGAAGTTGCTTATTAATTTTTCCATTAATCAGCAGCTATTAATACCACCGCATCTTGTGTTTAATATTGTGCCTTATATAACTTTCTCTATTTCATGAAGTGGGGGCCTTTTTTACAATGTATATATAAAAAAAAAAAAAGAGTTGGATTTCCATGCCTGAAGTTGTACAAGAAGGGGAGGCATAAGATTGTCTAGACTAACATTGTTTCAGGAAAAATAAATAAATAAATAATCAAATAAAAGAGGCATGATAATAACTTGTTTTATGCCAAGGCTTTCCTCAAACAATGCATAGAAATTCTTATCTAACGTCTACACAAATAAGGCAAGGTAGCTTAATGTTTTAATGAAGCAAACTGAGAACTCTTGGCCAGAATAACCCAGAATTTTCAGGTCCCAGAGATCTCATTATTACATAAATGTGCTGTGCTACAAAATCTAGAGGATTTCTTTGAACATTTTGGTAATCAATCCTTTAAAAACAAGGGTTTGGGGCAATGTCACAGGAGAAGAAGCGAAAGGGGATTGTTTTTGGGCGAGCCATTAAACCTTGGTTTTAGGTAGGCAAAAGAACAATAAAAGGAATCGCATTGGGTGAGAGAGGCTCGAACTCTCGACCTCAGGATCACTGAATACAAGTTATGAGACCTACGCGCTAGCCAACTGCGCCATCACCCCAACTTGGCTATCAATCGAAAATATATATTAAAGTCGAACTAACTCTATTTTCTTCTTCCGAACATTTTTATTAAAACCCACGAAGACTAATAACAAGAAAAGGCTTTACATGCTATTTTTTTTATGGCTCCCACCTTGAGAGAGAAGCTGTAGTAGATTGTAGACAAGAAGTTTGTGAACTCTTTATGTTTCTTGGCAGTACGGGGCCTGGGGCTCGCTAGCTTCTTTCATGGGCCCATCATGTTCATAGGGCGAAGAATTGAAGAGTTGCATAAATTAGTTGTTTTCTTAATTGCATGGTAAATAATTCAAAACTTCTGACTTTTCCATTTTGTGATTCACCATAATGCAGGGTGTGTATTTGTATTATATTTGCGTTGAAACTGACACAAACAAATTGGTTCCATGGTGTAGTGGTTAGCACTCTGGACTTTGAATCCAGCGACCTGGGTTCGACTCCCGGTGGGACCTCTTTTACTTTTCTCGTCGTATTTTTTTTTTTTTAATTTCAAATTAATGTTTGAGGATATTTGAAAACTTTGGTTGTCCTGTCTACATCTATGGTACAAGGTTCAAGTAGACGTTCTGGTATTGGGGATCCCATTTTAACCTATGCCAGGGGCTAAGGTAGGTAATGGGCCCACTTAGTTTTCCACGTGTCAAATGTTTTGGAGGTTGGTCGGAAATCAAATCTGAATTTATGAAACATTATCAGTTTATCACACTGGCTGGTTATGTGATGAGTGGTGACTTCTAGAAGGCTTACTGGAGTTACTGCTCAGATCACACCGAAAGTGGCTCTGATCGTCAGCGAGAGGCTGCACCAAGCTGGTTCTTGAATCAGATTCTCAGTTAACAGTTTTTATACTTCAACAAGGTATCTCTAATGCATGGGCATGGCGTCTTCCTCCCCTTCCCCTTTACAATGAAATTAAAGGGTGTGGGCCCTGACTCTCAGTTCCGGTCTGAACAAAAAATTTAGGCCCAAGCCCAGAATTTTTGGATCAGATTAAAAATGACTTTCAAAATTTGACATTCAGCTTCCACCATATCCAATTATCCACTGCCGTCCATGCAAAAGATTTCAATAGTTTATTCTTGCTTCCTTTTAATTAGCATCTGTTTGGTATGGATGCAGTTGTTCTAGAAAATGATGATACATCAGTAATGTTTTCAAACTGTTGTTGACCTGGATGGTTAGACCATTCAGACCGAAAACCGTCCAGGTGATTGGTTCCGTTTTACCCAAACCTTGTCTTTGGTAAAAAACCATTGAATTAGTCAACGAACCATTGACTTGGACGGTTTGACCATTGAACCGTTTGACCCAGAGAATGGTTTGCGATTTATTAAATAAGAGCCAGATTCGAATGAAAAGAGAAATCTCTCAGATCTTAGAGCTGAGTTCTACTAGAGAGAGAGAGACCAGTTGAGGGAGATCTTAGATCTAAGATTTAGAAGAAAAGGCTAAGAGATCAATGAGAGAGATCTGAGAGATTTGGAAGAGAAGGCTAATAGTCTAGATGACAAATTGAAGAAAGAGAGATCTGAGACTGAGAGAAAATCTCAGATCTAACATCGCCGCTGCTATAGTTCGTCATCGCCATCATAGTCACCGTTGCCGTCATCGTCAGCGCTGCAGCCGACCTCCTCCTCCTCCTCTTCCTCCTTCTTCTTCTTCTTCTTCTTCTTCTTCTTCTTCTATTCTCTCTTCTTTTTCTTCTAAACTCTCTCAGCCATGGACAATCTATCATTCTCAAATAGTAAAACCCCTTTTCTCCTCTATTTATATGCATCTTATCCTAATATTTCAGTCTAATGGGTAAGATGATATATCACCATTTATCATATTTAAACCACTTGAACTGTTTGACCTAGACGGTCGAACCGCTGACCCAGAAACCGGTGGCTAGAACGGTTTCGTTTCTGGGTCAGTTTTTAAAACCTTGTACATCAGTGTCATGTTAGAAAAAACGGGGCTCTAGGAAATATCAATATGTTTGGAACCATTTTATCATAAAAAACGTTGCTCCAAGTCACACCTTGAAAATCGAGAAGGTATGGTTTGGAGTAAAGTCAAATTTGATGTTTTCTCATATTGAAGCTCATTGCTGCCAAGGAGGACATGATGTGGCAATGATGTGGACTTTCTATAATGGGTACCAATGCTGAAAACAGATATGGAGGCACTGGTACCAAACAGAAGGCGTTGTTGTTGCTCCAGGAAACGTCCTACTTGGCAACAACGTTTCCAAACACAATAAAAAGACATCACTTTCTCAGAAAACGGTACTTCCAACCCACACATCAGCAGCTCAGAAAATGGCGCTGTATCTGCAGCATTGATGCAAAAGATATACTTAATCAGTTTTTTTTTCATAATTATTTTGATGAATAGATAAGCTTTTTAATGGTTTATTCTATACTTGGAGTTTTTTGAAACAGAAAAGTGAAAACACACCCAGAACCAGAATCATTTGATCAGTAGAAGCGCCTCCCCACCTCATTTCTTCCCACAAAGCGCAGAAAAGGAAAATTTCAACTGAAACCTTTATTAATTTATTTGCTTTCTTCCAGTAGTGTTTTGGATTCCCTAGAGTAGTACTCCAGGGGCGGTTTTGTTCCATGGAAACCAGAAGTTATAGACATTATGTTGTTCATCCAACGCATACAAGCCATCCTGCCTTGCTACCCACCAGCACCTGTAATGGCATCTGGAGTTGTCTCTCCTGGCAACAAAGACGTCGTAATGGCCGGATCCCTGCTGCCACCCCATGTCGCAGTAGAAAACCGTAGAACCCCAGATGTTTGAATTGAATGCCCATTCGAAGTAGAAGCCATACGGCAGCTCTTTCAAGCCCAGATCGTCGTTGTGGGATCGACAGTGAATTGTCAGATTCAATCCCTGCCCTAAGTCATTCGCCACTCGTACATGTCTTTCTGCTTCACTCAGCCACAGAACCAGTACCAGAGCATACATGAAGACGTATGCGTTGGAAATCTTCATTTTGCTTCTAATTGATAATTGCCGTTGTTGGTGGTGATAAACGAACAAGATTATTCTTCTCTCTTAAATACCCAGAAATCCTTGTAGAAGTAGAACACTGCTTCGCACACGTTTCTAGATCATTAATTTTAATGGCTATGCACTACCCAAACTTAAAATGCTACAATTCAATATTTCAACATTCAAAACGTGATAATTCAGTACATGTAGTTAAGTAGCTGTTAATCAGTCATTAAGTGACATTTAAAAAAAAACACAAATGCCCTTCAAGTGTGATCTAATTTTTTTTATCAACTATTCAAACATTGGCAAAAAATTAATAGTCCCAAATCTTTGCCTTTTCTATTCAAGAAAGTTGGGGTCACTAGAATGCCCACTCAAATTTAACTCTAACTTTCTTGAATGGAAGAAGCAAGGATTTGGGACGATTAATTTTTTGTCAATATTTAAATGGTTGATAAAAAAAATTAAATGACACTCGAAGGGCATTTGAGTCATTTTCAAATGTCACTTAGCGGTAGGTTAATAGATGATTAATGGCAAGTACTGGATTGCCACGTTTTGAAAACAGGGTACTAATCGGGAATTTTCCCTATTTTCAAATTAAGGATTGTTTTTGTTTTCTAATAATGAGGCATATGGCATGTGAATTAGACCATTTTTCTCTTTTTTCTTTTTTAAAGGAGAAAACATTTTATCATTTAATATGGTAGTTTCAGCCCAACCTCCATATCTATATCTATTCTACTATTAAAAGTACATATAAGAGTGTGGAACTTTTGTTTGATTTGAACTACTACTTTTTTTTTTTTTTAATTTGTTTCTTTTGTAATTATGCAGAAAATATAATTTGAACCATGGTTTTTAAAACTGACCCGAAGAACGAACCGGTTAGGTGTCCAGTTCACGGGTTGAACAGTTGGCTCGTTCTGACAAAAAAGTAAAAAAATTAGAAAACAAAAAAATAAAAACGGTTAATCGCCCTGGTCAATGGTTTGCTGACCAAAATCAACGGTTTTTAGTGAAAATCCGGTTTTGGGGAAAAACGAAACCAGTCATGACCAGTTCTAGGTTTTCCAGTCCAACCATTTGGTCCAGTCTGGTTTTGAAAACCATGATTTGAACTACTACTTTTTTGGTTCATTCAATTACTTTCAACCAAGTCTTATATTTAAGTTATTGACTTTCATCATCTTTCATTTCCATCATCTTTCATTGAATGCTATTTTTGACTAAGTATCCTTATTTTTTAATTTGATCAGAAAATATAATTTGAACAACAACATTTAGATACATTCAATTCCCGCCTATTAAATGCAAACAAGTTTAATGCTGCAACAATTTTAAAAGAGTTTGAAAAAGGAAAAAAGAGATTCTTGGTGGCCAGGTTAAGTTTCTTGAAGGAAGATCAGTATGCCAAAATTTGAAGGTGGACTGGGGATTCAAAAAGATAAACCTATGAATAAGGCTTTATTGTTGAAGCAGTTATGGAGGTTACTAACTTACTAAATACTAAAAAAAGTTTGGGCAAATGCCATTAAAGCCAAGTATTTAAAAGGTAAAAGGCCAACCATAATCATTCCACCTGGTGGAAGTAGTTAATGAGGGTGAAGGAAGGAGTTAAAGAAAGATTTATTTCTGGAAAATTAAAAAACGGGGAAAGGTGTTTATGTTTTTCAAGACCAATGGGTTCGAGATGTTCAAAAATGGAATTTTGATAGGTAGGGCTGTTCGTAACAAGACCCAAACCGACCAAACTGACCAACTCGGTCTGGTCCAATCCGAGTTGGTCGGTTTTTCTTCAGTATCGATCGATTTCGGGTTACAAAAAATTATAAACCGATAGTTCGGTTCGATTTCGGTTTTTATGTATGAAAACCAAAACCGAACTGACTTAGATATATATTATATATAATATATTTCAGGTATATTATATATACATCTGATATATTTCAGTTTTACTATATATATTTCAGATATATAATTGTGGAAATATATATATTTCAGCTTTATTTCAGAAATATACATACTATATATAAAATTTCTGATATATAAAATATTAGTTTTAATCCATCAAATCATTTTTAATTTTCAGGCATCTAGCCTTTGCTTTGTTAGATTTGAATCCTTTACCGTTCACACCGAGAGAATCATTCACAAAACCGACCCAAACCGATTCAAACCGACCAGGTCGGTTTTACTTAGTGTTGGGTCGGTTTCGGTTTCATTTCTAGGTAAACCGACCAGGTCGGGTCGGTTGGAAAAATGCCAGTAAACCGATCCAACCCGACCCGTGAACAACCCTATTGATAGGTAAGTCATGCAATCATGAAACAAAGACGTGCGCTACAAAATGAAAGTTGATGTAGGCGCATTCGGCTAGCTTGTACAAGGTTGACGCGTGTCAAATAGAGGGTACATAGGTTCACCATGAGGACGCTCAGGTTTACCCAACGCGGACTAGGTGGACCCAGTCATAGGGCACCATGTGGCTCTAGCAGAACATCTTGCCAGGCCCTTGTACGGCTTGCATCTGGACCATTCGAGCCCAACTACCCCCTGTCAGCTCCGATTATAAATACAAGGCACCCCCACAAGGTAAGGGATTCAAAACCTTTGTGATCTCTAGTGCTCTCTCGTCTAAGGACTTAGCACTATTTGAGACCTTGTCTGGACCCCTTGGCTCCAGACCCACTGCTCACCTTGTGCACATACTAACTTGAATGTTGGAGTCTTCGCCTCGAGTTCCCACCCAAGGCCTCTGACACCTCCTCCCTTGCAGATTCACTACCACGAGAGCCGTATCTTGTCCCCCTTTGGACACCCTTCTTAATACTAGCCCTCGGCTTCTACATTATTCGAAGGAACAATCCGCCTCGGCCTCGTCTTGTCTCCTCCGAACCCTCAAAGCCTTCGACCTTCCTTCTAAGCTTGGGAGTGAATTTACTTTGTTTCCCTTGGCTAATCCGAGCATCAACAATTGGCGCCGTCTATGGGAATTGTTGCTAAGACGATCCCCAAAACACTACAAACCTAAGATCTCCTAAGCTTTAGACATCATGGTACGAAGAGCCAGGAACCTCCAGAACCTGGTCACAAATAAACAATTTTAGGCGGTCCTCGATTGTCTAGAATACCTCACGCAGCGTGTGGAACAAGCTTGCCCCCAGGAAAGAGGTCCCTCCCGAGGCGACCTTCCCGCTGGGGCGTCAGATCACCAAGGCCGACATGAGCATGTCGAGCCCCCAGCACTTGGCCTAGCCGACCCCTAATGGGCTGAGCCTGCCAAGTCCGGCAGTAGCCGACCCGCCAGTCCAACACAAAGAAACGAGAGACCTCCCAGCCGAAGGGGGGAAGAACCAGCGTGGTCTGAAGACAGCCGCCAACCTTCTGAACAACACTACCACCGCAAGAGGAAGAACCCCCAGGACAAAGGCGGGCACCTTGGCCGTCGTAGCGCCCACTTAAGGGCCGAGGGCCGATGCCGCGCCTCTTCTGCACTTGTCTCGAACTTCCATGACGTCTTGAACGACCTCCACGGCAGACAGGAGGTACGCGGTCCTGCCTCAGAGCATTCTGGAGTTCGTGCCGACCCTCATCATGCCTGTAAATATAGAGACGGGTGGCAAGCTCTAGCTGACCCTCAGATTGCGGAACTACAGGCTGAAATTAGGGCCGTCAAGGATGAGCTCCACCATGTCCGAGAGAGCCATGCTGATGCCTTGGCTGATCAAAGCAATCTGATAGGGAGAATGGATGCCTTCACCCCGGACATCAACTCCGAGTCCCTTCCCCAGCACTTTAAAGCTCCCACACTGGAGATGTACGACAGGAACTCAAACTCAAACGATCACCTGGAAAGTTTTAGAGAGCTCATGATACTTTATGGGTATTTTGACGCCTTGACATGCTGGACTTTCCAGGCCACCTTCAGGGGGGCTGCCCGCCGTTGGTTCTCTAGTCTCCCACCCCGATCAATCAGCTTGTGGGAGCAGTTTGCCAACCTATTCCTTGCTTGCTTCATTAGCAGCAGACGATACCAAAAAAGCGTAGTCTCGCTAATATCTATAAAGCAGAAGCAGGGAGAGAGTCTGCGGTCCTATATCGACCACTTCAAAAAGGAAGAGCTTGAGGTTCATGACCTCGACCCTATAGTCTCTATCCACGCTGCCATCAATGGGCTCCGCTTTGGTTCAGCCCTGAAGTGTTCGGTTTCCAAAACCCTATCAAAGACGAAGCTAGAGTTCCTAAAAAAAGCCCAAAAGTACATAACGACTGTGGAGGCTTCAGCCGGGGACCACAAAGAAAGGGAGGTCGAGCGCCACAATGAGCCCCCGGAGAAGAAGAAGAAGGGTGGAGACCACCACCACAACAACAACAGCAGCAAGGACAATAAGAAGCCATCGGCTTCGGCCCTGGCTTACAACCAATACATGCCATTTAACTCCACCTGGGCGTAGCTACTGATGCAGATTGGGGAGGAGAAGTTCATGAAGTGGCCTGAGAAGATGAAGAGGAACCCCAAAATGGGAAGTCCCAAGAAGTATTGCAAGTACCACCATGGCACTGGAAATGACACAGAGGACTGCTATGACTTGAAAAATGAGATAGAGTCCCTCATTCAACAAGGGCACCTTAAGTAGTTTGTCAATAGCGAGCCCGATGCCTTATCCTCCCAGCAGCAAGACCAGAAGATAGCTGGAGTCATCGACATCATCATTGGAGGCACGGCCTCGGCCTCAGCCCACAAGGCCTATGCCAGATAGGTCAACATCCAAGGGCCTGCCCCCAAGAAGCTAAAGCAACAGGAAACCCTCTCCTTCATGGACGAGGACTTGAAGGGGTTCATAGTCCCCCATGATGACGCTTTGGTGATCTCAGCCATCATCGCAAATTTCGTGATCAAGGGGATTCTCGTCGATAGTGGCTCCTCGGTCGACATCCTCTTCTACGAAGCCTTCTAGAAGATGAAGATAGAGCCTGAGCGCCTCCAGCCAACT